TATCATGAATATATGTTACTACTCACGGATTCCGCTGGGCCCATAACCTGTTGAAACAATCTGCGTTTTGGACAAATCGTTTATTCATTATAAGAATCAGGAGTGTAACATAATATTTAATATAATCACATTTTCGGTAAGAGCGTAAGGATGCGGCCAGAGTGCACTCAGATTCAGATTCAGATTCTGAAAACAAGCCCGAGAAATAAACAGTGTAGTCTAAGCAGGTTGCCTGCGTTTTCTCGCGCTTTGTTTTCTGAGTCTGAATCAGAATCTGAATCAGGAGTGCACTCTGGCCGTACCCTTCGACTACACTGTTTATTTCTCGCGCTTGTTTTCAGAATCTGAATCTGAGTGCACTCTGGCCGCACCCTTACGCTCTTACCGAAAATGTGATTATATTAAATATTATGTTACACTCCTGATTCTTATAATGTAGTTTAAGCAGGTTGCCTGCGGCCACTATGGCCACCCTGCTTTAACTACACTGTTTATTTCTCGCGGTTGTTTTCTGGCCGCACCCTTAGGGTACGGCCAGAGTGCACTCAGATTCAGATTCAGACTCAGATTCTGAAAACAAGCGCGAGAAATAAACAGTGTAGTCTAAGCAGGTTGCCTGCTTTTTCTCGCGCTTTGTTTTCTGAGTCCGAATCTGAATCTGAATCAGGAGTGCAATCTGGCCGTACCCTTCGACTACACTGTTTATTTCTCGCGCTTGTTTTCGAAATCTGAATCTGAATCTGAGTGCACTCTGGCCGCACCCTAACATTGCAAGCACAGTCCAGAGAGAAGAGAGCAACCATAGACTTTTATTTTTAATAATAGCTATGACATAATAGTTTATAGCATTGGCTTACAGTATTGATACTTATCATATCCAACAAGGAATTGATAGCTGGAAAATTAAAAAATAGGGAGATTTGTGCGGAGTTTAAAACCGTATTTTGTTTGTTGATGTAATTTCCTGAAAATAAAAGTGTTTCAATGACAATAATTATTTTGCACTAGCAAACCCGGCGAACTCCGTTTCGCCACCAGATGGCTTCGTTTTATGTAACATTTCGTTTGGTGATTAAAAGGAGATTTTTTTTTACTTTTTCCTGAATTTTCTTTGCTATAAACCTCACGGAGCCCGAGACCTTTCCAACGAATGCAAAACCGTGGAAATCGGTTCCTGCGTTCTGGAGTTATAGCGTCAGGAAGGAAAACCCGACTTATTTTTATATAGTAGATGAAACGATCCCTACAGTACCTACCGTGTAAGATTTACCTAAATTGTAGGTAATTTCCTTTTTACCTGACTGCGCCATGACTTACAAATAAATATAACTTGTATGTTTAAAATAATATTCTTTTATTGAATTATGTAAGAATAAAAATCAGCAGTCGGGTTTTTTACAAGTTTTTAATTAAATTGCAATATAGGTAGTTATGTAACTATGTTTGTTCGGGTGGAATCTTGCAACTCAATTTTGAAGCAGATATCTTCAACCGGTTGAGCTGAAATTTTGTATATACACGTTTTGATTAAAAAGCACGGATAGCTATGTGACGTCATTCTAAATCCAACATGGCGGAATAGTTATTTAATGCATTCCTACAATATGGGTATCAAATTAAAGGGCTTGCGGAGAATAGCTCGAAATATACAGTGACGTCACTCTAAATCCAATATGGCGGAACACCCAAGATGGCGGACTAGTTATTTTCATTGCACTCATACAATATGGGTATCAAATGAAAGGACTAAGGAAAGGAGATAACGAATGCGAGTTAAGCTCCGTTGCTCCATTAAATTTATATGAAATAAAAATAAAAATTAAATTCTCTAACAAGAATAAAATAAACTTTTGAGTTTTACTATCAACTTATAACGTCAAAATAAAATATTAACAATCACAAAACTAGAAAGAAACTCAATTATGTAGATTAAATTAGAATACTGTAGGCGGGCAGCCCTACCGCGTGGATACGCCCCGCTCGGCCGTAGGCAGTTATTTCAAGGACAGGGCCCAGTCACAATACTGTATAGATAATATTACCGTGGTATAGTGTTTAACAGTCTATATATGTATGTATGTTCCTTTGTGGCACACTAGAGAATCGATTCGTCTTAATCATGGGAGTGCTACTAAAGATATGATAGTAATCAAAATTCAATATGGGGACAATTAGGCGCCATATTGTGACGAATTAAAAAAAAATAAGATGACGAAATAATATGTCCAGTGGGATTTCATTGTCTAGATAATCGAAAATCATGTTTAGGCTCGCTACACCATTTTTCATATTATGTGACTGTTTAGGATCTACAACGATTTAAAGTTGTATATTAACCACTTACGCTTTTAATTTCAATCATATACGTTTGTATGGATCTTTGTTACCCTTTCACTTAAAAAATACTGAATGGATTTTAAAGAAACTTTACAATAATATAGCTCACACATAATAATAACATATAGATAATAATTAATGTTGAATGAATTGACCAAAATATAACGTATAAGTGTCACGTAAGACGGAAAGAAATCTTCCATCTCCGAGCCATTTTAGCCTGCACTGCAAAAACAATAAAAGTTACATTAATATAATGTAGAGTGAAAATGTACCTCCTTAATAGTTCTACAAAAAAGTCCGCAACACCATATATCTATTATTAATGTACAAGCCATTATCGCTAAAACAGTGAATCAAAATAAAATATTATTTGATGTCCATTTCCAAAATGCACATTTTTATTTATCAAAACAAATACTTTTATCGCTTTTGATATTTAAAGATGATAAAGTTAGCCTTTTACACTATATCATTTCGACAAATATTTTAAAAGTTACAACGATGAAAAAGTAATAGCCCGTGTTACTATGCAGGAGTAGACTGCGGGAATAGTGGGAGAAGAATAGTAGATTATTAACCAAGGAGATAAAGCAGTGTCTTCTGTCGCAGGTGACGATTTAAATCGCGCGCGAAACGAGGGATTTGAGACGAGTCCTGATTGTAACGAGGGATTTAAGTTCACCCAAGACTAAGACAGCTTTATCACCGAGGAAAATACTCTACTTTTCGTACCATTTGCGAAAAAATTAACACAATAATAATATGAGATAAGCATTTATTAAAAATAATGACAATTAAAAGTAAAAGTTAACATTCGAAACATTGGTCCAATTAAATACGGCCTCGTCGGTTTTCGTAATTTTATTTAATAATTATAACTGCACATAAAATGCGTTATCCTTTTTCAAAACGATGTGTAATGCTTTATATACAAACTCAATGGTTGTAAACACAGATGTAGTTCAGTATAAATTTCGGTAATTATTCTAAATTTAAATCACATTCTCACCCTAGAGGATGAATGAAATTCAGTACAATTTTCTTTCCCTGTTTTAACAGATTAAAAATGACTATTGTTATGTTCGCTTTTTGTGCCATAGAATGTCACTTTTTTGAGCAAGTGGTACGAAAATTTAATTTTGGTGTATTTATTAAATTATGAAAAATAAATTACCACAATAGATATTTATGATTATTGGAATTTAATGAAAAACTCAGAATTATACTGCTTTTAAAGTTTATTTTTACGATATTATTCCATGTTTCAAAAAAGAGTTACCTAAAATTGTGAGAAATAAACTATTTTTTGCTAGTTGGTACATGTTTAATGGACTCCCTATATTTATTAGTATAAGTTTGCGATAATGTTGGTTTTGTAAATATAAACGATAATTCTGCAAAATTTAAAGTAAATGATATAAAATTTTACAGGTAAATCACCCTTTCCATCACCTTACGCCTATAAGTATTGCGATATTGAAACTTAGAACCAAGGCCCATCTATTTCTATAGGTAAATTCATCATAATCGATTCAGCTATTAGGGCGCGGAAGCGTAAAAACAAACTCACTTTCTCGTCTTAAATATTATACTAACAAGTGATCCACCACGGCATTGCACAGGCGAAAAGTATTTTAACGGGATAAAATATAGCATATGTCACTCGGATAAAATGTAGTTATTAAAAAAAACATGTACTAGAAAAATTTCCTCCCGGAGAAGTTGTCAGAGTGGATTTTTTTCAACTAAAAGTTTTCTTAAGACTTATAAATCGAGCAGATTAATCAATGATATTGAGATTAATGCTATAAAATATAATAATAAATAATGTAGCTACCTTATGATGAATGATTTTTCTAAATCGGTTCAGTAGTTTGACAGATTATTTGTTACAAACACACAACTCTTGCCTCTTTATAATATTAGTATAGATAGTTAGGATAGTAATATTTAATTGATGAAAAAGATTTAAAAATAAAGTAAGCAATAGGTTTATTTGATTATATTTGTAAAAGTTACTTACCAGTTTTGGTGAACAGTGATTCGTTAATCGGTAATTTATACAAACATAAGCTTATTTTGCCTACAGATAGAAAAAATATTTGGAAAATAATTACATTTATTATACCTACCAACCATTTGTATTTGTGTGTTCTAGGCTGGTAGCAGCCCGATTAATAGGTGGAAGTACTCTTCATTCGAGCTTATTGAAAAAAAAAATCCATTCTTGGATATCTAATGGGTCCCGACTGTTAAAGTAGCTTTGTTCCTTACTTAACAGAATTATAGACTACTGGACTGGTTTTTTTATTTTCAGTTTTAATTTGAAGTAATATATAAGCAGTCGGGTTTTTTGATTTTTTAAATTATCATTTTTTTAAAGATTCTGAAACCCCCATGGTTTCAGAATCGTTAAGATAATCGTTCTCAGAACTTAAAGGCGCGTGGGTGAAGCGTGAATGGTAATAAGTATTCTTTTTTTTTTATTTATAATACCACGCATCTAGCCAGCAGTGAAAATTTGTCTGATTGCGCAAGGCCTTGGAGCGGAAGGGATTTAAAAAGCCCGCTTCTTGTTTCAATACCCCACATTAAACAAACGTTGCTTAAATTACTATTACGATCGTTTAGGAGTTACTTAACGCAACTTATCTCTACAGGATACCAGAAGAACATCCTCTTTGCGGCCTCATCATCCTCACAGGAATTTATCACCATCTGTTGCAAGATTTTTCCATCAAACTGCAAATCAGACATCATTGACATCGCCTCGAAATTCTATGGTTGTACTTTCACCATCGCGGGTACATAATGTTACAACGTAAATTTTTGGTTGGTAATGAACAATCTCATGCGATTTGTTAATTAAGCTTACAAATATCTTTCGGTAGTAATTTCAAAAGATACATACACTTAATCTACACTGAGCGGTATGGATATTACAATACAGTTTCAGCCAAAAACGATCTTCATAAGGATTTTTTTTCCTACGTTGTGCACGTTGTGCAATAAAACACGGCCTATGTGGCCGTGCTTTATTAAGTATTATGATGTGGCCACAAAATAGAGAGTAGCATGTTACCTACTTACTATAATAAAAAAAAACTGGAAAATAAACATTTCCTTAAATGCTCTTAATAAACAAAGTACAGACTTACATATTCTAGTAAAATTTTCTTTACATTTAAACATCTAGCAGTTCCATGCTCAAAAAATAACAAATATAATTACATATTCTTGTTAAATAAACTAATTGTGTAAGTATTGCTTATGAGTATTTCTTTAAAAATAACTAGGTATCATTAAAAAATAAGATACGGCAAAGATATTAAGATTATGTTTTTTCTATTATAAGTAAGTAGCTAACAAAAAAAATATGTCGAGCGTGAACAAAACTGTACTACGTTCAAGAATACTACGTACGTATATATTTTCGTAAAAAACCGTAAAGATTCGGTGGCCTAACTGTGTAACTTTTTCGCCTTCCGCTTCCGTGATTATTCATTTCATATTTGGGAAAATTATTTTGATTAGCTCCCTAATGGAAGCGCTCTAATTATTAAGTACAATGCAGATACACTGTATTTTCATTAATTATTTTTAAAGTTGGGTACTACATTGTATCTTTCTGTAACCTATGAATGTTGTATAAATAATCATGTAACATGGATAATAAACATTGGATTTATCCACAGAACACAGATAGAAGTTAGAAGGGCCTTGTGAGCGGGGCAGGCGTGCCGCAGTTATGTGTGAGCAAATGCTCATAACTTGACCAAAACTTAGTTCCGATTGCTCTTGTCGTCACTCTCGGATGTGAGCGCTGATTGGTTCGATTGTTTGATATTGCGTTGTTTGATTGGCTATCTATTAGATGGAAGTGGGAGCGAGCCGGCGAGATCGGTTTCCGTACTAACGGTCTATGATCCACCCTTCTAAGCTCTTTCTGTGTTTTGTGGATCTACCTATTCAGAAAAAAAACAAATATGTGGTCCTACCTTAACCACACGAATTGTCCTAATCTTAATTGAAAACCTAAAACATACCCACCTGGAAGATGAGGAAATTATAAAGACCCATTTGCACCAAAGGCGGCACTGCCTCATGGTCATGGTCATTGCTCATGCTACATATTGTGAAGTGGGTTCGGTATTTAGTGGTAAGTATGTTATAAATATATTTTTTTTAAATCATTTCAAAGCAGTCACAATGCCGCACAGAGTTACCTCGCCGTAAATCAGCCATTAAATTAAATTAAAAACTTATCATGTTTAAGCCTCATTCCTCTTGTGTGCAAGCCTTAATTTGAATTAAGGACTTTGGTGCAAGTGGGCCTAGGCCCCGTTGTTTGAACAGTAGTAGGTAATAGTTAAAATACGTTAGTAAATAAATATAACCATTTGTTAAAATTTTACACATTCTAGACTTTATATATTTGACTTGACATTGATTAATACTCATATTTAACTATGTATCAACAACAAGCAACGGAGGTTTCTTTTTCTAAAATATTTTAACGATAGGTAATCATATTTAAAAATGTATCAAGCAAAGAATAGGGCCCTGTGTTCTGTGTTATCACTAACGTAACTATGTAAGAAATTAGGTACTAAATAAAAAAATGCCTTGCATTCTTGTGGCTACATGTTTTGCAACAGAAATAAGTTTTATGCAACTAATTTTCTTTGTATTGGATAAAAAAACATGACAAAAGTGTGCTGAAAACTTGCTTATTTTCTTTTTATTTTAATTAAGATTTAGAACAGTCAGATGATCTTTATGATGCATAATTATTACATTCTTTTAGCATAAGAATAAATATGATTGAATTTTGATGCTCAGTATTTTATAAGTATTAAATAAATAGTATTATTTATAAGTATTTGTCATCAGAGGTGAAATCAACCAGGATATGGTAAATAAAAAATGAAGTTTCCACGGCATAATACCTGCGACTGGAACCAACCATCTAGGAGTTTAATAAACGCCCTGATAGGAGGGCGAGTTTTACAGCGGTTTATTGACTCGACGGTAAGGTACAACAGGTAAAATTAAGGCTTTTTATAAATCCGTGGTAAGGCGCGAACAATTCGCAGCTAATAATATGACACGCAGCCAGTAGAAACTTGCCCGTTATGGAGAAAATTATTATCGGTTTAAAAGATCACCCCACCGCGCTACTTACCGGCAAGCCATTTAAACTGCGGTGAAATATCGCCCGTCGGCGTTGATCAGCGCTACAGAAAATATCTGTGATCAACACCAACGAGTTGCGAGTGAAACCGTCGTATGACCCGTTGTACGTGGGTAAAGGACTAATAAAGGACGAAACGTAAAATTATATAGATATGTAGGTAAGTGAAAAAAACCTTGCTATTTTAAAAACGTAAATTCTTAAAATAAAATAAAAATATAACTAGGGGAATCCACCCAATCATTGGCACTCGTCCTATTATTGGCACTTTTGAAAAAAAGAAAAAAACAAGGAGACAGTAGATTATTCAAGATCGTTACATATTAAAAAGAAAAACCTAGTATCGTTGCGAAATTTGAAAATTGGCAGCATTATTCCTACAATCTATTGTTTCCTGTTTTTTTCGAACTAAACTCAAAAGTGCCAATAATAGGAAGAGTGCCAATGATTGGGTAGTTTCCGCTACTTTCATTTTGTTGTTAAATTATTTCGCGTCTATTGCTTTATGTATTGCATGTTATAGCTATGCCTTGGAAACATGAACACTGAATGCGATACAGCAGTTGCGATTGTTGAAACACAAAAATTGATTGGTGGGTCACTCTCGTTATTCCGCGACGAACGGAGTCTGAGACCATGCCAAGATTCGTCAACAGCGTTTTACACAACCTTAGTCTCACTACTGCAATTGTAATTGCTACGAATTAAGTGTTCATGGTTCGGTTCATTTTACCGCTAAAATATTTAACATGTTAGCTATTTTAAATATTTAGTTTGAAGAAACGACTGACTCAATATTAAGTACAGACAGCCACAAATCAACTTACCACAAACTGTCATATTTTCTCGATAGATTGTAAATCTTAAATAAGCTAAAAGTCATTTGGAATACATTGACAGTTTTAGACAACCTGTGGCTGTTGTGCTGTGCTGTTGACCTTTACTTATAAGTAGTACTATATGTTCTTGTTATCTTTATTGTAAATCTATGTGATTTGTCTGCAAGAATGTTATGTACACAACTAGTCAGTTAAATAAATAAAAGAACATAGATAATGACTGATTGATTTCATCATTTCTATAAATGTATTTAAAATGAAGAAACAATAGACAATGCAGGTAAACGTATTAAAATATTTTCACTTGCCAAAAAATTAAAGAATTTAATTTGGATGTTTTTTTATTTTCTAACATGAGTAACATATAGATTTAATGGTCCTATAACATACGGCTGATTACACCAGTCAACACGATTATTGAGTCTTGAGTTCTTTGTACCAGATTTTGATTTCTTATACCTAATTAATGTAAGAAACAATATTTTTATTTAAAAAAGTTTGCTTTTGTACGTATCGGAATGAAATTTTAAATTTGATGGAAAATTGCAAACTTTTTTGTTTAAGTTGTATATAACAAGAAAATAATGAAAAATATATTTATTTAAAACTCTTTTATTTACTTCAGACAAATAAACCGTCTATGAATACAAAAAATATATCGATTTAGTTTTAAAAATTGATAATTTTAGCATATTTTATAATTTTTAGTCTAAAATTTTTCTAAAGTAAACAAAATACCATGGAAATTTCGTATATCCTCATGTGACGCCCATATTTTATCCTGACTTCGGATAGAAAGTTAAAGTAAGCTTCATATGCTAAATTATGCCTTTTACCACGGGATAAACAACATTTTTTGACCCTAAATTTAATAAAATCTCCGGAAATAAATCAAACAGAGACCACGTAGTTTTACTCATTTTGGAAGACATTTTACCGCTCAAGACTCACAAAATACGTTGTTTCCTTTCAATAAAGAATTTTTTCATGCAACTGAGACATAATATAATTATAGGGTTCATAATAAATAAAAGTATATCATACTAAATATAATTCTTTTTCTGACACTGAATGTGCTGCTGGTAGTGAAGTAAACAAAAATAACTTGGAAATTTTGTATATCGTCATGAGGCGTCCATATTTTATCCTGAAGTCAAATAGGAAGTTAAAATTAAGCTTCATATGTTTAATTAAGTCTTTGACTACAGGTTAAACCATTGTTATGACTCTAAATTTTAAAAAAATCTCTGCAATTAAAGCAAACAGGGTCCACGTAGTTTTCACTCATTTTGGAAGGCATTTACCGCTCTAGGAATTTACAAAATACGTCGTTTCTCTAAAAGGTATGTACATGCACTGAGTGATTGCTCTACTGCTTCCTATTCCATACCCAATATCCTTCTGCACTCTTTTTTTTTGCTTTTTAAAAGCGGTAGATCCTCAGCCTTTTACAAAAGTCATACATATTTATTTATCATTCTATAAAGTACAAAAGCAAACTTTTTAAAATAAAAATGAGGTTTCTGGTTATTTTTCGATATAAACAATTAGACAATAGTCATTAAATAGCAGACTCAATTTTTTTTTTTTTCATTTTGTTGACTTGTGTTATTTTCGAATATTCTTCTATTTAAGGAATATTTCTCTTCACTTTAACTTAATTGACACAAATATTAATGGAACTTTTACCACCTTATTACAAAACGTTGACTAAAGTTAAACCTGGTTTAAAATTTATGCCATTGTTTGCTAAAAATATGACAGAGACTGCATTAGGTTTAAGCCATGACTAACTAACTGGTTTTGGCATAATACAGTTAATGTTTGCAAAAAACTTCAAGTACTTGAGTAAATAAAAAGTGTCGAACGGTCAAACCACAAACACAGCGTATGTAGCATGCAGGAC